TAACTGGAACTAGGGAAGTGCATGTTTACATTTCCAAACAGCCGTTGTGCTGTTTGTGTTAGGGTAGGCATGCCCTTGTCAGGAAAGGGCTGCCCAGGGACCTTAGGACCTGGAGTTTGTGACTACATTTTCATATGAGGAGTTTAAGGAAGAGGATGGGAATACAGGGAAGAAAATAAGGACAGCTTTGTGCCTATAAACAGAGGAGCTAAATCAGTGTTTCTCATTTGCAGAGAAGGAAAAATAAATGATTGGGGGCTATGGAATTTATAAAATTGTGCATTGTATGAAAAAGTGTATTTCTTTCTCCTGAATTCATAAAACCAGAAGATAGGATGACAAATAGCTACAGGCCATCACCGGCAGGGGACAAGTGCAACAAAATGTTGCAGTGTATCCTCATCCTGTTGCAGGCATGTTTTGAATCTTGAAGCAATGTTTGGTGTGTGGTCTGAGGATGGGAGACCAAAAAGGGGCCCCTTTTCCATCCTTCCATCCTTTCTCATTGTGTCAAAGTTGGGGGGGGGGACAATGAAACTCTAGCTTCAGAGGCTATATGCCTCAAATTTAATAATTACTGGGGGAAAGGCTCTAGGATTTGTTGAAGCAACTATGGGAAAGAGTGCTGGGCTAGTTGGACCTTTGGTCTCATACAACAACACTCTTCTTTTTGAGCATATTTCATTCATGTGGGACATGGTGTGCCAAAGATAATCTGAAAAGCAGTCTGTTGGCAGTCTGTTATCCAGCTGTCATTGTATGCTTGTAACTTTTGACTAAAACCCGCTGGAAACACAGAACCAGCCTCTGCTGCTCATTAGCCCTACTAATGCAAGCCAGATGGACATGAATCTAGCTGCATTACCAAAACACTTGAAAACATTAAGAGGCTTTCTGAAAATCAATGACAGAAGTATTATTCCCCATTTTATAACTGGAAACAGAGACAAGAGTGACTTGACTGAGGACGACCGTTGCCCAACTTGTACAATAAACCATGGCCCACCACATGCTATGTGTAGTTGACTTTAGCAGCTACTAATGTATTGGCAAATGAATCCATGCTAACATTAAAAAGCAATGTGGGTCTTGCCCATCATAAGCACATATGTTGATCTGATGGCAGAAACCTGAAGTGAATTTCCAGGATGCAGAGTTGCTGTGGGTTACTTCAGGACCTGGATAGCTCCTGGCCAACAGACCGCAATACAAAGTTCATCCAAGGTGTGAGATGCTACCTGCGAATGAGTTACTTATTAAAACATCTTTTCTCCAAGGAGTTCAAGGGTGCATTCATGGTCCCTCTTCTTACAGATTAGGTCAAGGGACTGTGGTTGGCTCAAGGTGAACCTTGGCGTCTCACATTTCAGTAGCACCCTGTGTGATGCCAAAACCCGGTGTGTTCCTCCCTCTCCCTGCCTTGAACTGGAGTAATCGTCATGAAGCCTGCTCTGGCGCTCCAGAAGCTCTGTGCCCAGTGCAACTGCACTGGTCGCACTCCCCTAGAGCTGCCTCAGCTTCATGGCTGAGTGGGGATTTGAATCCTGGTATCTCAGATCCTAAATCCACCACAATATAGGGAAACACTGCTCGATCCAAAACATTAGTAGATTTATTATCACAATAAACAAACACCAAGGAACTGAACATTATATGCATGCCATGTTGATCAGTCCTCCGCCTCCCACAAGACTCTGTGGACGCTACAAACCCGAGTTGCATTCAACAAAGTACTAAGGATAACGTTCTGCCAGTGAGAGCCCAATAGAATGCTCTCTCTTTTCCTCCCTCCACATGCTGTTCCGGGGTTTTCCCCAATTCGCTGGAGAAGATATGGGGAAGTTGTGATGGAAAGGGGGCTGAGTTATGATGGACCAATAAGAGATGGGGCATTATTTAAACTACCGGTAGATAGTATGTGGTCACTGTGAATACTGCCCAGCTGAATTTGTAGAGAAATAATTGCTACAAATCTAGGATAACAGCCATAAGCTACTGGACAGCACAATGCTATGACTTTCCTGAACAAAATGCTGGACTCAACAGATGTAATTGCTGGTAGGCTTGTTTAAAATAATCAGTAATTCAGTAAAGGTTCCCATGGTAACAACTTCCACTAAGACATAGCTAAGCACCATGTCAATTAATCTTAAACAGCTTCAGACAAGCAAGGAAGACACATTATTCTTTTGTCCTTTACTGTGACTGTATTTCAAGGATGCCAACAATGTATGCTCAAGACTTTCCATTCTCCTACAACCACACTTAATACTATTTGCATGAAATGTGCACAAATGTTTTGCCAGACCAATGACAACTCTAGAAACGATTTAGGCAGCCCATTCATCTTGTATGGACTGTGAAAAGCCCATTTTGAGAACAAGAGTGTATAAAAGAAAGCAGCCTGATAGTTATTGTGGTGGGCGGTCCCTGTATAACTATTCTGCAGTGTTGCTGAAACCATAGAACTTTAGCTTTCATATTTAGGAATACTTAAATCCTTGCTTTATAGTCCTGCAGGCTGTTGAAAATGACTTGCAAAATATTCTCAGAATAAGATCTTACACAAACCTAGTAGTGTCCATTCAGAACCAGGGTTATTCAGGCATTTCCTGTCATTGTCCTTCCCTGATGTCATATCAGGTAGCAACTCCCATCAAAACAATCTGAAGCAAGGAAGTGGGGCTGAGCATCTGGTTCTCACTCAGCCCATGATGGAAGCTGTCTTCCCTTGTTGGTGGGTTGCCACCCCATACCCTTGGGACTGGTTACTCTTGTTGGGTGAGGCACATACAAGAGTGTGTTAAAAAAAGGAAAAAAAAATATGTGGAGTGACGCACTGCCAAATCAGAGCTAAGTCTGCTATGTCACCGCCTGCTCTTTACCAATAGTATTCCAATTTTTAATAATTAGAGTGCTTAGAGTGTTGGATTAGGAGTGGGAGAGAGAGAACAATGCACACCATCTTCAGTTTGAGGGCAGTAGAATATAAATGTAAGGAACAAAGCATACATTTCGTTTTCCTTGTTGTATGCATCCTTCAGAAAAACAAAAAGCCAGGTCTTGGGGTTCCTCACGAACATTTAAGTTACAGATGCTTTTCTGTATTAGGGGAGGTCAAGCTCTATATAAGTGAGCTAAAATTAAATGCGTATGATGCTTTTAAAGGTTTCAAAGCACTTCGCATATGTCATCAGTAATAACTTAGAACAATAATGCTGTGAGGTTGGCCATTCTCACAATCCCTTTGCAGATAGAGGACTGATGTTATGAGGCAGTGGTTTGCTTCAGTCTACCTAGCAAGTTTATGTTTGACATGAGCTTTGAACTGAGGACTTCCTGGCTTATTGTAGTTGATGCACTTAGCTGCTACAGTAAACCAGCTCTCACATTTTTCATAGAATGAAAACATGCCTTTCACATTATAAAAGGATAAAATTTCTCCTTTCATGGCTGTGGCTCTCTGTTCAACCTACAGCACGGGTCCCCAAGGACTTTTTGAGCACAGCACTTCACTCGGAAAATATGCTGAAGGTTTGAAGGTAGTCTTTTGAATCATGTCATGTCTCAGGGCCATCTTCGATTAAATGGCTGCTGTCCAGCACGACAAGCAAAAAGCTATTTCAGAGGAGATGTCTTCAGGTACTGCTACTATTTTAGTGTGATACGGCTCAGCATTCTGTGTTTTCCTGCTACACAGCATTCTTTGCCATGGTTCCCTCCTGCCTGGTGCAGATAGCTAATAAGATGCACACAGCTTCACTATATTTTACAACAGTCTCCCTGTTTCTTTAGTTGTTTCTAAGGTTGGGGCATCGGGGGACGCGGGTGGCGCTGTGGGTAAAAGCCTCAGCGCCTAGGGCTTGCCAATCGAAAGGTCGGCGGTTCGAATCCCCGCGGCGGGGTGCGCTACCGCTGCTCGGTCCCAGCGCCTGCCAACCTAGCAGTTCGAAAGCACCCCCGGGTGCAAGTAGATAAATAGGGACCGCTTAGTAGCGGGAAGATAAACGGCGTTCCGTGTGCTGTGCTGGCTCGCCAGATGCAGCTTGTCACGCTGGCCACATGACCCGGAAGTGTCTGCAGACAGTGCTGGCCCCCGGCCTCTTGAGTGAGATGGGCGCACAACCCCAGAGTCTGTCAAGACTGGCCATATGGGCAGGGGTACCTTTATCTTTTACCTTTAAGGTTGGGGCATAGGGAGAAAATCGGAACAGACTGAGCCACATTCAGGACCAGGTCAACATACATATCATTATATCAAATTTCATTAAAAGATCAGCTCTTTTGCCATTTTCCCTGGGATGGGTATGACATTAGAAAGCATTCAGTAAGACTCTACTCATCTAGATAAGTAGCAACTCATCTGTTCGACTGTTTATGCAGCAATCTCCCCCCTTCTCTCTCTCTCCTGGTACAGCATTCTTAAATTGTCTCAATAAGAAAATGGTGTGAAATAATTTTGTACCCCTAAGAAGAACAATTATAATCCTATAAAAGCGGGGGGGGGGGGGGGGAGAGAGAGAGAGAGAGAGAGTTCTTGCCACATAGTTAAGTCACTTATCATACAAGGAATTGTGGGAGAATTACTGTTTCCCTTTTCTGGACTTAAGGCTGCAATTCCAAACACACTCACCTGTAAGATGTTGTTGTTTTGGAGGCAGTAGCTAGGTACTTTCTCCAGACTGCAAGGCACTTACTTACCTCCTCTATCCACCCTTTTGAAAGATGAGGATTGCCAAGAGCAGGTGCAGCTATCCAGAGATGAAGACAAGCCAGGAGTGCATTGTCTGTGCGTTGTCAGAACAGCAATTATTATCTTCTTTTCTTCTTTGTCAGGAGGAGCAGCTAGGCACTCCCTCAGGGAATTGCTTTGTTGTTCTACAACACCCCCGACCCCTTCACTCACCCACCTGTCCACCACATTTTCCTTGACATCTGTTCTCCAAAGTTTCCCCTCCACCTCCGTCTGATAACAGTCAGATCCCATTGACCAGAGGCTGTTACGGCATTTACATTTTATTAACCATTTATTTCATTAATTGTTTTACTCTCACAGTACAATCTTGTGGTGGTTTATTATTAAATGTATATATACTTTTTTTCCTTTAAATTTTGCTTTTGGAAAATAAATAAAGAGATAAGTGAACCATATAGGTAGATTACTTTCTGGAGCCTTGGTTAAACTTCATGATTGGATCTCCACATCAGACCTGTGAAAAAACACAGCTCCCCCCCCCCCCAATTTGGATGGAAGCTGACAGATTAAAACAGAAAAAGACCACCACAACCATAGTCCTGGCTGTGCAAACTGAGGGGGGAAGCACAAGGGATCTTGTTCTTGAAACAAAATATATAGGATATACATTACAAAAAATAATCGTCATCATCATATTCTCATTTGCTTTTAATCGCGTAGGTTAAGTCAGTTATACATGGATTTCAGACTCTGGCTTGATGCTTGTTAGCAAAATCCATCAACTATCTGCCCTTCCCTGAGTTCATTGCCACTTACAGAGGGACAGGCACGGCAATGGGGCCAAGGCTGTGGCATCTCAGCACAACTGACACTGGGGATCAGCAAACTAATGTGTCAAGTCACCTCTTGGGTTTATTCCCATCATTTAATTTTGGCAGCTTTCAGTATAGGTTTCTAGCTATATGAGCAATCCTCCCTTGGCCTCTGCCTAGTATCTTACATGGTGGCTCTCAGCCTAGAAGGTGGGGAAGAAGGGGGGGGGGACATATAGCAGGCTTCATAGTGAGAGCCAGGAGATGGATTTTGCAAGCAAGGAAAAGCTGACATCCACAATGCAAGATGAACTGGATGCTATCTCTATTCTTAATGCTATCACAAGTGACAAAATTATTGGCAAGACGACAGAATTCCATGCCTCTCCACAGCTTTGTAGACAACTGATTTTGGAGCCAGTGCCAATAGCTGCACAATGCTGGCACAACATAATGCAAAGGGGCCTTCTTGTCTTTGTGTCCCTACTCAGGCAGCCATTTAACTGGGATTCTCTTCCCCTGGACACTGAAGAGACTGAAGTCTTTATTGTATGGGAGATGGGTGGCATGTGAGATGGAACCAGCATTCTCTAGAGAGCGGGAACATCAGTAGTTCTCTTGCAGGCAGCACACCATGCATACAATCACAGGGTGCCAGGTATACATATAGCTTCCCCCGTGTTCAGTCTAGGGGGCAAGTGCCTGAAATGGGGGGGGAGGGGTGAATGGGAGGAGGGACCTTCTGCACAGGCCTGTTCTGTATGTGTGCTGCAATATCTGCATCCATTACCAAGCTGAATAATAGCACTTCTTGCAAAGGGATAACAGGAGGGGGGTAGGATTTAAGGCAGTGGTACAATGATAAGTGAACTTGCTCTCTATGAGGAGGTAGCAGGCCATTTCTTGTGCTTATGGGGTTCTGCTGTGAGCAAAAGGAGTTAGAGGATGGCTGGAACAACTTATAGATTGAATGGACATCAGAGGGGAAGGTCTCCTGTCCTGTCACACAGCTTCTCAAATGTGTCACTCCAATTTCCCCAACAGACACCCAGGAAGTGGGGGCAAATTTCCTGCTTTCCCTTCCGTAGTGGCAGCCAACTCTGTAGTATTTTCAGCAGCACCGAGAGACTCTCTCTTCCTTAGGGCTTTCCTTTCGTCTTTTACCAGTGGAACAGTAAATGCAAAAGAAGGTGGCCGGTGGCATATAGAGTAGTAAGATACACACAGAACTATCCAAGACCGGCAGCCTGCTAGCATGCGACTGCCAGGGCCAGCACTTGGCACAAAATAGGTAGCAGCCACAGACGTTCTAGGTAGAGTATGTAGAACACTAGGTGAGTCCTGAATTAATTCCTGATTCAAAGGAAAACCCACCCCTGTTCTAGGAAGGAATCCTCCTCTTAGTTTGTAGGAGCCATAACGCCAAGCAACCAGAGAAGCAGTCATGGGCAGTGGTGGTGAAACCCGGTGAGAATATATATACTCGTTTTCTGCTGCTCCTGAAGGTTCTGGCTCGGAAGAAAAGCAAGAGGCTGCTTCTCTCCCCTCCCCTCTGACTCAAAATCATCAGTAGCTAAATCAGGAGGGGGAAAGTGTTCAAGTTACGGGGGGGTTGCACAGCAGCAGCAGCAGCCAACACTAAACATTCAAGTCGATAGTTTCACTATGTACACCATGAGTGAGACACGGTCCCACCTGCCAGAAGATGTCCTGCTCTTGACAGAGCAGCCACACACACTGTTATCTGATTCGCTTCTCCACCGAGTACACAGAGATGTAGTAGTCATTGCTTCCAACTGCCAGGTGAGGCTGTGGAAAGGAGAGGGGGAAATAGAATCAGTGGATACATAGCAGGGTGCTGCTGGTTTTGATTGGCTTTTGAAGCTAGTCAGAATTTATACTCGCCACCAGCCCTGCTCCTCACTCAAGAGGGAAAGGGTTGGAGTCTTGATTATTATTATTATTAATTTAATTTCTATACCGCCCTATACCCGAAGGTCTCAGGGCGGTTCACATAAAATATTGTGATGTCACACCAGGTTGTCTGGCTGCTTCTGAAGCCTAAGTACAGAGGCAAGCCCCTTCACCCTCTTTCTCAGCTTCAAGCTGGATATAATGGGCCAAAACTCTTACCACTTGCTCTGAGCCCAGAGAGGTTCGGAAAGCAGCAAAACATTGACAGTTAAGGCACTAATCTGCTTTATTCTGCTTCTGTTAGGCAACATTTATGTTGCTTTTATTGATTTTAATTATTGCATTTTGTATTACGAAGTTGGATGGTTTTATTGAGTTGTGGCCATAAAAGCTCTTACCTACCTCTGCTTCATCCTCTACAGTGACAGTCAACTTCCAGTAGTTTTTGTTATGCTGGAAATCCTTTCTCCACTAATTTCCCCTGTATGTTTCCAGTGGATTGAAAATCCACCAATACAGCTGAGTTCCAACTTACATGAGGGTTCAGTTCCAAGGGTTATGCAAACACACGAAAATTGTAAATAGGAAAAAAATGCATTTTCCTGGTCTGGCAAGGTGTGGAGAGTCCCATGGGAAGGTCTCCCCTGTGTGTGTGTCTCTGCTGCTGCCCCCCTTCTCCAGGTGCGAATGGCCATTGCAAGGGAGGAAGAGAGATGCAGGCAGAAGAAAAAGGCTCTAATGGATCTGGAATGGAGCTGCAGCCAAGTGTGTAAAGTTGAGTTTGTGAAAGTAAAATGCACATATGATGTGACTTGACTGCATACCTAGTTGCAACTTCGTATCTACTTTGCACTATTCATCAGGCATCTCTTCCTTTGATCACCTGGAGCAGAAGCATTTGTTTGGCCATGGTCAGAAACAGGATCATGGACTAGATGGATCCATGGCTTGACCAAGTGAACTTGTAACTTGACAGCTACTAGAAAATAGTAGATTCTGGGAACCTTGTCTAAGCAAATAAAAGAACCCTACTAGAACTTGCATGTAATCTGAAATAAATAAATGCTCCCCAACCAACCAACCCCCCCAAATGAGCTAGTTCAATGAATTTTCTCACTGAATTTGAGTTTCCGGAATTTGGAAATATTGTGTGTATCCCCCTCTCAACAGCTTCACTAAGTCCTCTTCATAATAGCTATTCAGAACAAGTTTAGGGTAACAGTTGCGATGTTCTACAGTTTAGAAAGGAGACTGACCCAGTGTGGATGGAAGGCTAGGCAGCTGATGGCACCCACTCGCTGGCCCATGAATCCATCGTAGTACTTGATATTGTTGATCAGCTCACCATTCCCATTGTAGATTGCAGTGAATTGATTCATAGAGCCACTGCAGAGGGAAACAGAGAACACAGGATATTGGTGACGTTAAACAACTGGTGGTTAAGCCCTAGAGATGAAGGTTTTCTACTCTTGTGCCATTTGCGGAACAAGAAGCAAGTAAGCTTACAACAGCAAATGGGATTTTCTTTAAGCCATGAAATCATCAGCACAATCTCAGCTATTAGCAGGTTCACAATGGAAAATTCACATGCTCAGTAGGAGATTTAGGGAGGCAGGATGGGAGACACAACAGCAGGCAGGGAGAATATAACTATGAGATGGTCTTGAGTGAAAACCCCAGGCACCAAACTGCTGACACTGGACAGCAAGTCCCTAGCAAATAGTGCACTTTCTGTTCTTAAGGAAGGGAAACCCACATAATACGGTGAGCTGCAACACCCACCATAATTGAAATCCATGTGCTGCAGGTTTAATGAAGCATACAAGAATTGAAATACCTCAGCTGCAAACACGTGAAATAAGCCACACTGTTTATGCCAAGGAAAATAAATGCAAGTGTTTAACAATGGAGCAGGTGATATGCAGGCTGCATTTAGAACTTACCAAGCAAACAGGTTGGCTTGTGGGTGGATGTCCAGAGCTGTCAGTCCTTTTACTATCTGCAGGACCTTCACTGATTCTGGCATCCTTGGGTCAAAGAAACGGACATCTCCATTAACACTGCAAAGAGATAAAACATGGGGCTATTACCTGTTTGCTCCAACAAGGAGAGCAGATCTACTTATCCCAGAACCTGGCTATAATTAGGAGAGCATTAGTATCAATGCTCAATTTGCCAGCAATGTCCCTTTGTGAAAACCGGCATATTTGCCACCCACTGCAGTCTGTTTCAGGCAGCCCTAGATGCTGCAGAAGTAAACATAAGGTTACTCATGCACAAGGAATCAGTGTACAGTGGTACCTCGGGTTAAGTACTTAATTCGTTCTGGAGGTCCGTACTTAACCTGAAATTGTTCTTAACCTGAAGTACCACTTTAGCTAATGGGGCCTCCTGCTGCCGCCACACCGCCGGAGCACAATTTCTGTTCTCATCCTGAAGCAAAGTTCTTAACCTGAAGCACTATTTCTGGGTTAGCGGAGTCTGTAACCTGAAGTGTACGTAACCTGAAGCGTATGTAACCCGAGGTACCACTGTACACGAATCAATTCATTATTCCTCCTGTTCAACTCATTGGCATTAAATACCACTAGAAAACCACTGACTGGCTTTGCTGTTTGACTGATTTCTGGACTTTAAGACCCTTTGTATTCCCCTGGAACAACGTAAATGATAACAGGGTTACTTTAACCATATGCAAACATCCTGTGCCAGAGAACTGACTTTGGGCTAATGGTCCTGTGACAGATTTTTGGCAGGTTGAAGACCTTTAACACTGGACAAGATGCTTTATAGTGGCATCAGTGAATAGTTAAGATCACAATAATTGGTGAAGTGAAATTTCTAACTTTCAGCTTGATTACTGTCTTGCCATAAATATAATGGATTCATAGCTCATGAACCTGGCCTTCCGTCCTAATCCTTTACATGCTGTAAGGTGTGTTCAGTCCAAGTGATGATTCTATGAGGAAAACAAGGTTGAAATATGGGGTTCCCTCACTGAGCAGATTGTTTCTTGAGCAGAGGATTTGGGCAAAATGTAAGGCAGATGGATAAAACCAGGTCTGCTAAGAAACTGAAGGAATTACAGTCCCTGTCTGTAGTTTTCAGAGCAGAGAGATCAATGAAAAACTAGTAGAATAAGGAAGGCAAATGAGAAAATGTTGCTGAGAAAACTGTAGCCAAAGCCTGATCAGCTGAAGTTATTTTAATTCAGTCAAATGACTGTATTTTATTGAGAATTTACTATTTTATGTACAATGCTTAAGGGTTTCTTTTTCTTTTTATAATGCAGTTTATAAAATTTCTTCAATAATTTTGATTACAGAGAATGGCTACTAAAGTGTAAAAATCTAGTAAAAATCTAGTCAGAGGCCCTGCATTACAACAATTGCTGGTCTGAGGATAACAGAGCCCATTAAGAAGCAGCATCCAGGTAACTGGGATCTGGATCTCGTTAGGTAACCCTATAGTCTATCTCATGCTGCTCTTCCCTACATGACTTCCTTAGTCTCCAGCTGCAGCATTTCATAATGAGGACTCAACATGGGGCTTCCTTACTGCAGTTCAGATCCTTCCGCTCTCTCTTGTGATACTTCAAATATCTGACCTGCATGCCCTGTCTCTCTTGGAACTTTCCCTTCATTTAGGGTTCATTATATCTCTCTTGTTTCTGGAACCTTGTAGTTTAATTAAAGACCTAATAGCCTTCATAGTGTGACCCATGGCTGGTTACAGCCTGTGGAGCCTGACAGTATAAAAAAGGGCAAAGGAAAACAAAAAAAGAATAGTGAGCAGGGCTTTAAGTTGCACCAACTTCTGGTTGGTGCAAGGAGAAGACTCTACCGCTGTACTGCCAAACAAAACGGCAACGAAGGCACAGCAATAAAAAGACTGAAGATGAAAGCACCAATATTTGATTCATTGTATGCATCCAGCTAATGGAGCTGGTGAAAGCTAATGGAGACTGGTGAAGATCCACTTGAAGGCTGAGTGTTTACAGCCCATCTGCAATACGCACAGCTGAAAAGCGCAGACCATGTTCTAAGATCTGATTCCAAAAAAAAAGCTGTGGGTGCAGAGGAGAAACTAATACCTCACAGACAGTCAGATCTAGAAAGCCAAAGGTCAATACCAAATGCTACAAAATGAAGAACTACAGAGAAAAGCACTCCAGCTGTCACTCCCTAGTGTTAAGCTGTCAGAGATGCAGCAGGATCCTCAGGAAGCATCTACAGCACCACTTAGAGAGGGCAGAACCAGGGTTAAAATATCCAAGAGAGGCAAAGCTTCAAATTATTACTCAACATAAGGAAACATTCTAAAAAAACACACACAAGGAAACATTCTGATTAAAAATAAGTCTTCAGGTTTACTGTAAATTAATGTATGTGAAATCTAATCATGAAATGATTTATTCCATGTTCTTAATTCCTGCTGCCCTTTATTTATCTTATAAAAATTGCTTTTATTGTATTTTCTTTTATATCCATTAGTGTGCATTAAAAGTAAGTGAAACAATATAAAAGTAATGAATGGAATAATAAACAATGTGAAAGGTTCGTTTCAGGGTATAAAATATGCAATTAATAAGATGTTAAACTTGCTGAGGGGACAGAGACAGAGCACTTAGTGATATTAACTGTATTTATTTTTTGGGTAGCAGATTGCTGCTGCTCTTTCTTGATTGGTCCAGCTGCTCCTGATATTACTCTCCTTCATATGTTGGCCCAGCTAAATATTATTCTCATTCACATGCAGTGCTAAGCTGAACCATGGCTGAGTATCAACAAGCAAACCTATGGGCTTCCAGAGATGAGATGATGGTCAGTTGATTCCTCCCTGGTCTAGGTCTCCCAGACAATCATGAGCTGTTTAAACCATAGGAGACACCTTGGTTATAGCTTGTGGTTTGTCTGGGAGAGCTAAGCCATGAACCTGGGGTATAGATGACACACTAAACCATACTATGGCTTAGCTCAGCATAGTGTAGCAGCAAAATGACCAAGGAGGAGCAATGTGGTTATAGCCTCCTTTCTGGGAGCCCATGTGTTTCCTTGTTCATGCTCAGCCATGGTTTGCCTTAGCATTACACACAAACTAGGCCACTATCTCCTACTTGATTGATCCAGCTACCCTAACAGTATTGCTTCTGCAGCAGCTGTCCAAGGCTTCAGGCAGAGGCCTTAACAAACGTTGCTACCTGGGATCCTTTGGACTGAATAGGCTAAGGGACTGAACCTGAGACACCATCTGCATGCACTGTGCCATTAGGCCTTACGGTGTGCTGCATATGCCTTTTGCATTGGGACAAAGGAAGTAAGAACAACTAAATCAGGACGGATTTAAGCTGGACCACGGAGAAAATCTAGAAGCAGATCCTGAGTGTGCCAGCATAATCAGCACGCACATCAGTAATGTAGAATCCCAACAGTTGAGTTTAACGAAGTTGCCTGTGTGCTGAAGTAATCGAGGAAACTCAACAAACTTCTCAAAAGGATTAAACAGGATGAGACAGCACCATGATTCATCCTTCAGCTTCTTCAATGAGTTCTGACCACAGCAGTGCCTGAGGCTGAGATGTTGGATGGAATACCTGTGCCTGCTGCTACATTTTATTTTAGTGATGAGAAACTTGCACGACCTTAGAGGACTACTATTACTAGAAACATCCTGGAACTGTTCTAACCACAGAAAGGGGAAGAGTACAGAAGCATCTTTTTTTCCAGTCCTTCAGGAACAGAGGTACATGCAAGAAGGAGGAAAGGGTGTCCTTAAGTAATAAAAAGATGAACCCAAGCCGACATCTGTAATGTGCCCATGCTATGCAAATCAAGACCCCAAAGTTAGAACTGACCTTCAGAGAGCTGCTTTTGTTGTGAGAAGTGCAGAGTTTAGACTTTTATCTGCAATAATTCATCTCTCCGTTTCCTGGTACATAAACCATTTGTCAAGCTTCTGCTGGCCTTCTTAATAACACCATTCACAACCCTATTCCCTACAGATGTTCTTTGGGTTCTTAGTGTTAGTGTTTCAGTATAAAGGTTTATCACCCACTGTATAAGCCTTATAGTAAGTATGCCACTCACTTTGAACAGAATTCATGGAGTGTGCCTGATGTATGAGTAGAAATGATCACATTTTACATATGCACCCTCTGCAAGAGGGTGATTCAAATAGGCTAGTGCTGTGAAGGCCAGTTACTCCAACCTAGCCAATACTCTGTCTGCTGAATGGCTATCTGACAATAGACTACTGCCTTCCATGTTAGTTTATTAGTTTAATTATAAACTAAATCAATGCTCAAAGCATTATACTACATAGGTTCCTAGCTACTCTCATATCCAGGCACAAACTAACCCAGGTCTTAGCTTTAGTAAGGCCGTTGCATCATGCTTCTTTAGGCCATGCAAGCTGAATTAATCTAAAACTGAAGTGCATAATCTTTTGATGAAACATCAAACTACATACTGCATGCTGTTGAGAGTCAATATGGCTTGCTAGGCTGATCTAATTGATGTGGAACATGCCCAGTTCCAGGTAAAATTCCAATCCCTTTCTGAATCTGGTGAGAAGCACCCTTTGTTTGAAAGATAAGATAATTATCTAATGTCAGGTGGGGCCTACCAAAATAAATTCAGAGTCAAATAGATTCTCATCTGGCAAGAAGAACTACTTCAACCAGCCTCCAGGAGAAACAGAAGTTATAACATTTGCTGCCCCTTCTTTGGGGGTGGAAAAGCATTACCTCTTACGGCATTATATTTTCTTTCAATTCTGTATATAAGGAAGAAGTTCTCTGGAAACAAACTATGACTTAGTGGTAGTAAATTATAGTCTGCTGTCCTTTGAATGGGGTAATAAATAAACACAGTGCTCCTCCACCATATTTATGAAGCATGAGAAATGGATTTATGCACAGAAAATTGCTAGATGGGGAAATAATTCTGCATAGCAATAAGCCCAGAACATGCAATACAATCTATCCCTTGGTGTTTTTTAAGCATTTTGTTTCAGTAGCAAGTCTTGCTCTAGCCAGTTGCTTCCTACCTTTTACTTTACAGCTATCAGATAAGTATTTCTGTTTAAGATTAGGATCCTTATCTCCAGTATTGTTACCAGGCCCTGATCCCACCTTGGTCCCCATCTAGACCTTCCAATGATCAATGACCTAAATGAGTAGACAAAGCCCCACAATGCCAGGGCCCTGAGGTCTGTGAAGGGGCCTCCTCAGGTCTCCCTCCAAGGGATGTATTAGAAGATTCCTTGGAGTGGATTCCTGATCCACCTTTGCTAACTCAAGTGAGGGAGGTTGAATCATCGCCTAGTTCTTTGGGAACACCAGCACCAGAAGGTCCAAGCCCTGGCAGCTCGTCAACATTGGAGTCCATGCCTGAGAGTCCAATGTGGCAACATAACTCTTGCATAAAGGGCTCTTTCTGAGTAACAACCTTCCTCAACAATAAAGGCTCTTAGAGCAGACTCAAGCACCTGAACTGGTATAGGGCATGGCCTGAGACACTAGGCTATACAGTGGTACCTTGAGTTACAAATGCCTCAGGTTACAAACGCTTCAGGTTACAAACTCCGCTAACCTGGAAGAATTACCTCGAATTGAGAACTTTGCCCCAGGATGAAAATGGAAATTGTGTGCCGGCAGTGCAGTGGCAGCAAGAGGCCCCATTAGCGAAAGCACACCTCTAGTTAAGAACAGTTTCAGGATAAGAATGGACCTCCAGAACGAATTACGTTCGTAACTAGAGGTACCACTGTATATCAAGCTTCACTTGGAGTCTGCTAGTTACTGGAAACAACACAAGCCAGCCAGCTCCCTCCTCCCAGACCCAACTCCTTTGCCTGCCTTGCTTTCTTAAGAATCTCTTCAGTTTTTGACCCCTAGACTCCTGCTTATCAATGCTGACCCTTGATTACATTTAGATCCAGACTGGATTTCTCTGACCTTGGTTTGACCTGAGCCTTGCTTTCTGGACTCTCTTTCCAAACTTTTGGTGATAGTGTATGTGGGACTAAGGCTGCGGTGGGTTCCACTGGGGACCTGCCTCCACTTAGCTCACAAACTCCAGCCAGAGCATGGCATGATCTTATTTAGGATCCTTAACTTTACAGTGAAGGCTGAGCATTCAGAAGATAATGCCACAAGTTTATGGGTGACCCTTCCCAAAAGTCAATAGAAGCTGACTTAGAACACAGTGCCCTCACTCACAGGATTAAGCCATGTAAGAAAGGAAGCAGAGTAATTTTTGCACTCCCATTTGTGTACATATAATGACTCACAATGCACTGCATCAAGCGTTAAATTTGTGGGGTTTTGCTTTCTTTGAGGTACCACTCCTACAATATTATGCAGTTCCCACACTCAGTTCTTCCAGTCTGATGGGCCGCAACCTGAAATGGTTGATCATCATCAGAAGAATGTATCTAATTTGAGGAAGATAAGATTGTTTTTCCTGACTGAAGTTTGCTGTGACCAAGTTTGAAAACCCTTGCTCTAAGGAACAAGGTTACCCGTTCATCCACTCTCCCATCTTGGGAGCAGGAATTAATTGCAGAGTAGAAATGCCAAAGTGAAGAGCTCAAATCTCATCACTGTTTAAATACCAGAGACAGATTTTTAAACAAGAGAGGGCAAAATACTGTTTTGACAGGAAAATGTCGCATAAATATTCAGAGGCCCTTGTTCCTTTTCATTTCGTTTTCTTTTACCTGACACTCATGATGTTGCCTTCAGGATGTTTCTGCAAATACGCTTTCACCACCCAGGCTGTGTGCTCTCGATAGGTCATCACTCGGCTACAAGAGAGAGGCGAAACTTTGTGAGACAAAGCTGGAAAAAGGCCAGAAACCAACTCATGAACCATAAATGTGAAAGGGAAACCATCTGCTTGGTGTGGCTAGGTTCCCAGTTAGGTAAGTTGCAAGACTTTGAACCAGAGATTTTGAGTACGGGCATTATATTTTACAACGGCATGTTCCAAAATGTACTCTGGTGTGTGCTGTAATTGGTCAGATAAAGCATAAGAGGAAATGAGAGGGGAGGAGAAAAGGAATGGGGAATGACCCCATGTTTTTGCTTTAGGACATAATAAGCAAATGTCTTAGTAGAAACTTAGCTCTGCTGTCTTTTACAACTTATGTATTTCAGGAAGAAGAAAAATAAATGCAATATTCTTCTCCCCGTCTTTAAAAAACAAAACAAAACTGTAAAAAGTTATTTCTCTTGCAGCTCAAGTTGATAAAAATTGCATCACCTCATAGCATTTGTTTCCAGGTCATAGCTTTTTTGAAATGAGTAGGTGAGAAATATCGAGTCCGACAGGTAATCCCTGAGCAAATGGTGATAGAAGGTTATGGTAGGGTTTGAATAATGTTGGTGCTAGAGGACACATGGAGCCTTGAATTGAGGTAAGTTATCATGAGTGCTTCACCACAGAGCCATCAAATGATAGACGTGCTTCACACAATTGCAGGGGGTTGGACTAGATGACTATCGTGGTTCTTTCCAATTCTACAATTCTATGATTCTATTTATTTATTTATAAGGGACGCGGGTGGCGCTGTGGGTAAAACCTCAGCGCCTAGGACTTGCCGATCGCATGGTCGGCAGTTCGAATCCCCGCGGCAGCGTGTGCTCCCGTTGCTCGGTCCCAGCGCCTGCCAACCTAGCAGTTCGAAAGCACCCTCGGGTGCAAGTAGATAAATAGGGACCGCTTACTAGTGGGAAGGTAAACGGCGTTTCCGTGTGCGGCTCTGGCTCTCCAGAGCAGCTGCGTCACGCTGGCCACGTGACCCGGAAGTGTCTGCGGACAGCGCTGGCTCCCGGCCTATAGAGTGAGATGAGCGCACAACCCTAGAGTCTGTCAAGACTGGCCCGTACGGGCAGGGGTACCTTTACCTTTATGATTCTATTTAGACAATAATGTAAAGATTCTAGAAATTAAGACCCTCAGGATTGTGCCCCTTGTTTAATGTAATCTACAAAATATGGGAAGACATCCTCTTAAGGTGCTGCAAACCAGAAGATGGGATGTGATGGGGGAGCGAGCCTCTTACCAGAGAAGATTCATATAGCACAATTTTTACTATGCCATCACAAAGTTTTTTTTAAAAGAGAAGTTCTGCAGTGGTGCAAGGGAAATTGCCCAAACATTAGAAATGGACTCCCCACTCCCCACTCTGCACTCCCTAGAAAAAAATGGATGCATTCAATAGGTTGTATTCAACCACGTTGAACTTCATGCACAGAACAACTCCAGTGAGTGCAATGGAACTTCCCCTTCCTCTCCTACCATGCCATGTGATCCCCAAATTTGCTCTAGGGATTCCCCTATCTCTCTGGAGCATACCTGGGAGTAGAATAGGGCTGCATGGGAACTGGAGAGGGAAAGGAAGTTCCACTGCACTTGCACGCACACAATAATTTAGCTGGATTCAACCCAATATCCTTTTCACATTACGTTTTCACACATGCTGTAGTAATAATAATAATAATAATAATAAGAAGAAGAAGAAGAAGAAGAAGAAGAAGAAGAAGAAGAAGAAATAGGATGGGGTTTCCAAGAACAGCCAGATCTCTAGCGTGTTTGGAGGCATTGAAACAACGACAAGAAAAGTAGTAGTGAATGCAAAGTGAATGCAACTTGCTAGTTGTAAAAATTAGTTAAGTCTCTTACCATTCGCTCAGAGCCATCCGCCGGTCATAAACACGAACCGAACCATCACCAAGCCCTGCTACAATGAGCGAACGATGCGAGTCACAGGACAGGCTGGTGACACAGCTGTCAGCCCCTGTGGGAATATCCTAGGAGAGAAAAACACAGTCCTAAGCTAAGACAGCTGGGACATTTTAAGTGCACTGGCCATATATATAGCCCAGTGTTACCCCTGCAGTGGAGTCCACACATGAGCATTGATGCTGAATAATGGTAACAAGGTGGTTGTGACAGCTTTACCATGCAGGCTCAGATTTTGGCTTAAGACTGGGGGTGAACAAATTGCCTCTGGAAACAAACTAACTTCTGGTAGTGAAAAGGGCTGAAGTTTTTAAAATAAGCACAGAACATGACTGTGCAGGACCAGGGCAATGAAGACATCAAGGACACCTATTCTGAGCTGCAGCACCCGGCTAATTGGTTCTTTTCTTCTAGCAAAGAGGAAGGCATAAATATTATCAGAACAGCATTATCTCCACGGTGAGATTCAGGAACTTGTGTGGGTCTATGCCTTATTATGTATTAAAATTTCTATATTGGATAATACTAATTTTAATAAAAAATGTCTTAGGTCTGTTTCACATGGTTTAAATCAGGGGTCAGCAAACTTTTTCAGCAGGGGGCCGGTCCACTGTCCCTCAGACCTTGTGGGGGGGCCGGACTATATTTTGAAAAAAAATAAAAATGAACGAAATTCCTATGCCCCACAAATAACCCAGAGATGCATTTTAAATAAAAGGACACATTCTACTCATGTAAAAACACACTGATTCCCGGACCATCTGCAGGCTGGATTTAGAAGGCAACTGGGCCAGATCTGGCTCTTGGGCTTTAGTTTGCCTACCCATGGTTTGTTTTGGAAAATGTAATCTGGGCTACTTTACACCTATATGCATACTGGTATATATGAAAATTGGGTCATGAGTGTCCTTTTGACTGTGGTATATATTTCACACAAGTGTTCATCAACTTCCTGATGTGTCTACTCACTAAAGCAAACTTTTGCATTGGAACAAGTAGCATGTGATCTTAGCCCTTCAGTTTCAAGGGAAGCCCTGATTAACCACATTAAAAAGTCCTAATTAACTAAGATAAATGTCCAGGAGGAGATTCTTTTCCGCAAAAACATATTTGTCCCTGACCAGCCATAAATACTACATTGAAGGGCAGGATAGATAGATGAGTGCTGTTTAAACAAACACACACCATTTCCCTGGAGAGAAATAAATCTGTTGCAGCTGAAAATACACCTGGCAGCTAACTAGTGCATGTAGGAGAGGTATGTTATGGCAGCCATTGCTTTCTAAATAAGTACCTACTAAAGGAAGAACTCTGCAGGGCAATAGCTGTTTATTGGGCATTAGATCAGGCCACAAATGCCACAAAAGCAGATTAAATATATATTTAAGAGCAGAAAGCACTGAGAAGGGAACTAACAGCAGGAAGGCCTGGTGAGAAGGAGACACTTCTTATGCACCCAGTCAAATAACAAAGGTGAATTACTAAAAGTGGCAGAACTACAAAGAGAACTGCAAATGCAACTAGCCTTTCTACTTCACATTTTTTTTGTGCAGCATTTTAAGGGTGATTATAAAAGTACATAGCCTGCCATGAACTCTAAAGCCCTGCATTTCCTCTGGGGAGAAAGACGTTACCAAAAAGTGTTTCCTTTTAAATGATGGAAGCTGTTCCACTTTGACACGCTGCTGCTCCTCAAGCCTTGCAGCAAAAAGGTTTACAGCCCTTTATAATCTCTTTGGAGTCAGGAATTCTCCCTCATATTTTTATGGAAAGTAAACTGTGCAAGATGAAACATTGCATGCCCATGGTCAAGGTTGAAATAGAAACCTGGAGTCCTGACAGGCTGCAACAAGATTCTATGCTGCATGTGTTCATGCTCTGCAGAAAAATGGTAAGAACAGAAACCAAGGGCAGTGTACTTTATGAAAGAACAACTCTGGAAAATAATAAACACAAAGAGCAATGCTGGTATATTGTTGGAAAGACACCCGACAACGTTATTCTAAGGCTATAGCCCTTTCCTCTTTATGTGCTATGCATAACAGAACTGCGTGGAATAATAAGAGTGCAGCTGTGAAAAAGAAAAACAGTTTCAATTAAGCAACCAAAAAATTGAGCAACATTTTCAAACTAGCATAATAATCAGAACTGGCTCTGCAAAATTATGTTAGCTAATTTCACACCTCCTTCCTATTTTTGCTCCTGTGAGCCTATCCGCCTTCTCTTGATGTTATTTTTTGCATTTGCTTCATAAAAAAATATTAGATTAACAGTTTACTGGAGATAAAAATCTGGCAATCCTAGATTGAAATGGAACTGTAGCTGCATAGAGGCTCTGCAAGTTAAGATACTTTTGTGTCTCCAAATCAACTCTCTTGTAGACTCCCCGAGGGTTGAGAAAGGGCCACAATGGTGTCTATTAAATTCTTTCAAATCAGACTATAATCCAGATTAGAGTTCCATCCACAGCATGCCACAGGCAAAGAGCAGAATCTGTGGATAAAAGGTGCTTAAGGAACAAATAGTTCCAGTTGACTGACATTACTGAGTGAAGTTTCAGGTTGCCAACAAGATCTTTTCTGCACCTAATGTTGCATGTAGAATTCCAGCTCCATCCAACAACTGAGTTTAGTAATATGTAAACAGCATCTTGGCAGCTATTCAGGTAACTTGTCAATTTGGAACGTGATGACACTTGGGGGAAGTGAGTGAATTTTCTACCATGAAGCTCATATGCAAATTAGTGTTCCATCCAATTAGTGGAGTGGAGCCTTGAACTAGAAGTCTGGCAAGTGGACCCAGGCATCTTTCTCATTGTGGTAACCTGCCAAATGAGAAAGTGTTCAGATTTGACCTGTTATTTGCACTAACAGCCGGTATCGGTAAGGATTGGATGTCTCAATAGGCCAAGAGGATTCCCTCTGGTCCCAAGAAGCTTCCAAGACTACCCTGGCTCCGTAGCATGAGAAACCCAATGCACAGATGCACTGCTTTCACTATGCTCATCCCTGCTTACCCATGTGCCAACTTGATTTCCTGTTTGAACCCTTAGCTTGGCTTAGTTGGTGCCTGCTTGCTGCAGACCACCAGTCTTGGCAGATATCTAATAACCCAGAAAAGCTATGGCAGCAGTACCTAACCCCCAAGCACTCTCCCAAGTCCTTGGCAGCAAAAAGTAGGGGGAAGGTCAAATTAAACACAGTGCTGGGGCAAACAGATAGGTTTAAGTTTCTCCCCATCCCCCAGTCCAGTTCTCTGATGGAGATGCAAACTGTGTCCACCCTGGTGATCAGGTCAATCATTTAATGGATGGGGAGGGGACATGGCTCTGCTGTGAAGACAGCATCACACATGGGAGTGTGGTCTAGTTGCACCTGCTGCCTTGCAGTTTTGGGAGGGTTGGGTCAAGAGTGAATGCAGACCTTGGGCCAAAAAAAGTCATCCACTCCTGGGATGCAGACTAGTTCAGTTGAGATTTTATTGTACCAACTGTGCTAGATCATCACAGCTGTTGAATCAATAGAAGTCTCATTCCAAATTCTCTCTTTCTGCAAGGAAACCATTAAACTAGTAACACACTATTCTAAAATTGCCCCCCCGATCTGTTTCAAGTATATAAGCCCATGCACCCACCCACAATCTATGATGATTCTCACCATCTCCTACCAACCTAGTACCCAACATATTCTCAGTGGCTCAAATAATGGGCAGTGGCATTTCTGAATATGACTACTATGTTTCTGCTGCTCTGGGTTTTGCAGTATGATTAAGTCTTGATCCCCCGAATCACTGCAAAAACCAATTTGCACTGTTTAAGAAATAAAATGCCTTTAAGATGCTCTCTGTACAATCATTAATCATTCTAATTTAAAATATTTTCACCCTGCTGATTTCTGATGTTCTCTAATTTGCACAGATAAAATAATATTTGAAAATAATTAAGATTAGCATAGGCTTAGTTGTGCTGCATTGCTGGGTCAAAGTGCCATAATTAATGTTCATCCAGAGGTAATTAATTTCCAAAAGATTTGTAGACTAGACTTTATTTCCCACAGCAGCTTAGACAGAGATGTTACCTCTCATTATGTGGCTGAAGAGGTGGCTTGATTTAATGGCAACTGACGTGAATGTACATGGTTTTTTTGCTAAGGTGAGTGGCACGATAGCTCAAGCAACAAGGCGGCTAAAACTGCTCTGTTCCTTTGTCAGTCTCCATGCCTATAGAATAGGAGGAACAAGGCTGGCTCTGTCATGATGTGAAGTGTAGTAGGTGACTTTAGGTGGCAGATAGAGAGGAATGGCGTTTGGGGGGCTGCCAAAGGCAGATAGATGCTATAAGGGACTTTTAGGCTTGCCAACTAGTCAGTTTCTAGCACACATAGACAGGGTTGGCCCAGACACTGCTCTCTGCATTCAATATAGTGAATTTAAATTTGCTGTCACTCAGCCTCTGCCATTGTAAGCTGGATCTTCTTAGTCCTGGCAGTGAATGACAGCCAGGAAGAAGCTTGGCTGGCTTGTTGTTTCACTGTGGGATGTGTCAGCTGCCTGCACTCCTAAAGTTTCCTTGGATCATGGTTAGAGATGCATGTGAAGAAAAGGATGGGAGCTTACCACTGCCAAGCGAGAGAAGGAAGAACAGCTCAAAGAAAAGCTACAGCCAGCAACAGCCAATCAGGGCCAGCTTCCTCTGCCATTGTGTGCATGTGTGTGAATGCATACATGAGAGAAAGTGCTTGTCTGTATGCTTCTTGTCTGTGTCTGCATGAGAGATGGTATTAGTGCATTTTTGCTTCTTTTATCTGTCATGTGCACAGTGTTGTTTTTTTGCTAGAAAAAAAACACAGAATGTGCATATATATGTAAGAGAGAATGCAATTTTGCATTGTGCCTGTGTAAATGAGTAATGGGTCTTTGTAACATTTCCTACATTGTTAAATTCCTTGATCACATAATGCATGATCTGTAGTTTGAGGGTTGGTTGACTTTCTTGAGCTATGCATTCTGCATGTATTTCCTTCAGTACTCTAAAAGGGATTCGCTTTAGATTGTCCTTGGAACTAGGTTCAGTGTTCCTCATATGTGAATGTCAGATGGCCTTAAAAGTAAAGGGGACCCCTGACTGTTAGGTCCAGTCACCAACGACTTTGGGGTTGCGGCACTCATTTCGCTTTACTGGCCGAGGGAGCCGGCATACAGCTTCCGGGTCATGTGGCCAGCATGACTAAGCCGCTTCTGGCAAACCAGAGCAGCGCATGGAAACACCATTTACCTTCCCGCCGGAGCGGTACCTATTTATCTACTTGCACTTTGATGTGCTTTCAAACTGCTAGGTTGGCAGGAACAGGGACGGAACAATGGGAGCTCACCCCGTCGCGGGGATTCAAACCGCCAACCTTTTGATCGGCAAGCCCTAGGCTCTGTGGTTTAGACCACAGTGCCACCTGCGTCCTTTCAGATGGCCTTATGAATACAAATTTGTCCCCATGGTCCAGATGTTCACAGGAAATGATGTTTCAAGGCTCAGGCTGAAAGTGCTTGAGGTGCACCAAGCATTTTATCTTTGCAAGGTATCTGGTACTTCAGCATGCTTTTTAAACAAAATGTATCACAGGTACACAGGCATGATTCACCCCATTTGTAAGTAACCCTGGTCCCACATTCCACCCCACATAAACTTTTTGACATCCATGTAGAAGCATTTCCACAGACACCTTCTGTATTGAGTTCAGGAATTATCTCATTAACAAGTAGCCTTTTGAGTGGCAAAATTAGCAGCACAAGACATTTCTCTGTTTCGGATTGCTTAAATACCAGATCCATAAGCAATATATATTGTGCTTACCTGAACTTTCATTTCTCGGTCTGTATCCCAGATTCTTATAATCCGTACATCTCCAGAAGTCATGAGAAGGCCAGTTTCCTGTTCCCAGTCCACGACCATCCCTGCTCCTGAGGAAAGAAAAAGGTGTGCCATACAAATTTATTCTTGGTACATGTGGACAGATGAAATAAGTCAGAACATTGTGGGAATGAAATCTTCCGGTCAAGCAGAGCAATCCAACACAATGAGTGCACTGTGCATCAATGTTAGAATGTGGTAGGTACTGTGGACTTTGGGAAGTGGCAAGTTTTGAGAAAAATATATAACGGGGTGCAGGGTGGTGGTGGTGGCAGCCTTCAACAGTGGTTTCTGGTTGGTTTCATTTGAATGGTTTTATTCACAGGAGTCACAAACTGCTTGTATGATACACAAAAGTGAGGGGAAAGTGTTTTAGTAATTATCTGTCCCCCTGTTTTTGTTCCCAGGGAAGAAAAAGACCATTCCTCTCCAATATAGCCATAAGGTTTTTGTTTTGCTTTGCTTTTTTAACATAGAGATAACCAGTAAATTGCATTAGGCATGGAAATACTCAAATGAATTTGTTGCAGTGATACGACCTTCTCTTGTTTCTAATCAACAAAATCCAATGCAACATGTGTTTGTTCTCTGGTTTCGGCACCTGGGTTCCTTTATAAGGAGGTTGGGCTGCGATGACAAATGACTCTGAAACAATTTAGGATTCATAGCAGTCTCTCCCTTAACCCAACAAGGCAGCAGTTGATTCTTCCTGCCACCCTCACTATGACTTCCACCAGGGCCTTTTATAGGATAACAAAACAGAACCCAAATAACGACTAATGCACCAATCTTCTGAAAGGGAAGTACTATGAAAAGTACCCAGCCCCACCAAAAGACCAGATATCTAGTCAAAAGATAAAAGCAAGCTCTTGCATTTTTTAATCTTTTAACAGCAAAAACATGTAGCACTCCCTTAGATACTAACTGCCACCGTAAGCGCAGTAGCACCATAATGCAGGGGGACATTTATTTCTTATTTTAATGCATTTCTATAATGCTTTGTACTGAGTAAGTTTTTGAAGTGGGGTACAGCAAAATAATAAAATCATATAATAAAAACTATTAGTTGTATCCAACCAAGGTCTATATACAACTCTATATAAACAGCAAATGGTATTGAAAGTCAATGAGAGATCATGCAGAAGTTTCAGGGTCGTACATCCCATGCCCCTCTCCTGATAAAGTTCCATCAGGAAGATTCAGTCCAAGGAAGATTCAGTCCCCATAACAGGCCTGAGTCCAGACTGGAACGTGTCTAGAGATAATCAGTATCCTCCAAGAGTGCCTGCAGCTGGGACATCAAGACATAACAGCAGCACAAACCTTCTACCTAGTGCTATAAACACAAGCACCTATTAAGGGTCTTGTAGGACAAAAAAAAAGGGGAAGCTACTTCTCTTGCCCGCCTTGGATCGTCACCTGCTAGAGGTGCTGTTGCTGCACATCACATTGCAGATCCTGATTTTATCAGGGAGTTGGATTGCATGACCCCCCCCCCGTCCCTTTCCAACTCTATGATATAGGAAATGATCAAGGTAAATTTTCTGAAAGCATCTTCTTAATTATCTTTGTCTTCATTCCCTTCATCCAGTGGCCATGCCCAGGCCCACTTTAATGTTTCTTGTGGCCTGCTGGAACTGCCAGCTGCCAAAACACCTGTGCAAGTATGGAACTTGGGGGCTGCCCTTGGGCCCTTCGTTTGCTCTTACTGCAAGCAATGGGGGCGCAGGGCGGGAAGGAGAGAATGGCAGCAAAACGGACAGTGCATATTTTTATCTGGACACACAAACTTATTGTTTCTTCAGCTTCCTTGGCAACTTGAAGGGGTGCTACAGATTCAGAGCAAGCAAAAAGGCGGCAGTTTAGATTATAAGCACCTCTAAAGCATTTTGCGTTTGTCATCCTGTTTATGGTCCGTATGACAAGATAAACCCAGCAGGCTTGAGATGGATGATGCCTTTTCATCTTAAGCAGGCAGCACTCTAGGAAGAGATGCTTAAGCTGCCAGTTTCTCAGTCATTCATACTTACATTTCAGCACAAGAATCTTAACACTGAATCAGCAGCAACATAATCTGCAGACCACACATACACAATATGTGGGTTTTTCTCCTTGCTTGTATGGCATGGCACCTTTGTTTACTTAGTGTCTGGAGGAAGTTGTCAGGTAGATGAGTCTGACTTTAGACTAGACGGACCGGTGGGTAATCACAATGTCCTCGGAGGAACTAAGCTGCCTATGATTGATGCTTTTATAGCTTTTTGGATCAACTACTGTAATGTCTCTTTGTGGGGCTCCATGGAGGTGTGGAACTATTCTGCTCTCACATCTTCCCAGAAGCAAAGTAAAACAAAGTGTTCAACATTTAACTGCCTTGTGAACAGAATGCTAAATAAAGGAGGTAGGATTTAAATTCCTGGCTCTGCCATAGTCTGACTGACCTTGAGTAAGACATCTGTTCTTGCCCAAGTCTCACTTCTTACAACTGTGAAATGGGGTTAATAAAGTAATTCTCTCTCCTTTGTGGGAAGGGAAGCACAAAAAGAATGTTCATCATACATCACGTAAAAGGAGTTGGCTCTCTTGAAAGGTTTAACTGTGTGGAATGAACAAGACTCTACTCTTTAGTGGACGATATACAGATTTCTTCCTGAAGACTAATGAAAAATGTAAGCCTCTGCAAACGGGTGAGAAGGACTCCCTTCTTTATGCTGCTCTATAAAAATGGAAGCAGTCACTGTCTGAGCAATGGGGGTTCTGCTGAATCTTTAGCAGTTAATGACAAATATTGCTTCTCAATATGCTTATTTGCCTTTTGTCTCCTTCCCCAGTCCCTTGTGTTTTATGAGAACTGCCTTCCTCTGTAAGTAGTGTGCTCTGGATTCTCAGCTGCTTCACTAAATCTTGACAACTTCCTTGGCAACTATGCTCAAGAGGAAGTGACCTGGCCTGTTCCCACATAGTTCCAGGCAAACGATGCCATCAGTGATAACAACCATTTTACAATATAAGGAAGCAGGGGAACCCTTTTTGGCCCTTGATAGAATATAGAATACGCTCTTCCTCCATGTAGTGACATGGAGGTTTATGTAGCTCTTGCCACCAGAGGGTGCCCATGTGCTGAGAACTAGGATGGCACAGCCTCCCTCCACTCTCAAAGGATTGCAGCAGACAAGCGGAATCTGAGAGGCTTAAGATGTGTTTTTAAACCCATTCATGAGACATGAAAAGCAAAAAAAGATCTATGGAGACAGCCGCCCTTTGCATTAAATCTAACTCATTCATAAGTGCATAAATATATAGAATGCTATGAAATGCTAATAGAAAATGCTACATGATGATGAGCAAAGTAGCTTGTGTGCATTACCCACTTCAGGGCAAACTAATGTTTATTAAAGTAGGCCTGAGGTTTCTGGTGGTTTTCAAAGAGGGAACTATCATAACATTATTGACTCATGTTTACATCTCAAGTTCCTTGCGTCTTGCAGATCAGAGGCTCGTTGACGACTCCTGATTTCATTTTAATTAAAAAAAGAAAACCAACCTTTCCATGGGATTGGGGGATGTGGGGCACAGAGTCAAGAAGACAGATCTTTTGGAGCCTTTCCAAACAATGTTCTTGCAAACAATAAAATCTATGTGCAATTAGTTGTTTCTTATTTGTTCCAGGAGTCCAAATGCCTGTTTGCAAAACAGTGCTCTCTGTTGCAAAGATATTGCATTTTTTCAGCACTCAAATAGCAGTATTTGTTCATGTGAAAATGCACCCATAGTTGTGAGCACAGTGCGAAGTGTGGCAGCAGAAGTGGCACAGCCACCGACTGAAGAGGACTAGCGACACCAATAGAAATTATTGCTCTTTCACTTCCTTATACGCTAAACGTTCCTCTGCTGTACAACTCAAATGCACAAACGCCATCCCTTCCTCTTCTAAGCAATGTCCTCCCATGTTGTGAACTGTCTTTACATAGTTATTTATTTATCTCCTGATTTTACACACACAGCAGCACAACACAACACAACACAAACCAACCTTTGAAACTGGTTGTTTAAGATCTTTGTCAGAAGCCTCTCTCTGGATACCCCTATCTTTGAAGGTGAGGAGGGTGCCTACTGGCAATAGGGCTCTCTCAGCAGCGATGCTTCAGTTGTTTTTCTCCCCTTATCCATTCATATGGTGCTAGATTTGATGGTCTTTACTCAGCATCTTTTTGCTTTCCAGTGTGTTTTGTGTTACAGCTGGTTTAACATCTATCTGCTGATGATGTTTGGTTGCATTTGTTAGCATTTTAATATTTGTTGTGGTTTCTGATCATGATGTTGTGAAGCTCCCCCAGATCCAACGATCCCCTCCATGACATTCCCACAGGGCTCATGATGCAAGGTACTGCTCAGGTACTAGAGAGCTTGCTGCTATGTGCTCATGAGGAAATCTGTAATGGAGCCTACTGCCACAATTTGTTCCCAAAGAGGCAAGGTTCATGACAGCCGACATATTCTCACAGACACCACGTAAAAGAACTTCCACCTTATTTCCATAAGGCATTACAGTGGTACCTCGGGTTACATACGCTTCAGGTTCCAGACTCCACTAACCCAGAAATAGTACCTTGGGTTAAGAACTTTGCTTCAGGATGAGAACAGAAATCGTGCAGTGGTGGTGCAGTGGCGGTGCAGCAGGAGGCCCCATTAGCTAAAGTGGTGCTTCAGGTTAAGAACAGTTTCAGGTTAAGAACAGACCTCCAGAACAAATTAAGTTCTTAACTCGAGGTACCACTGTACATAAAGTTGAGTGCATAAGACACATGGCAGAAAGCTAATTTTAAAAATAATTCCTCTTGGCTTCTTCATGCAAGGACTAGCAGTTCTGCGTGATATGGAAGGGTATTTTTAAAATATGTCAGACACTGGAACTTTCCTTGTAGGATTCCCCCAAAGTCAGAGATGCATCTCAGTGGAATAGTTCCCTGCATACGTTTCAGCAAAGAACCCTGGCATCAGAAACAGCTGCATTCCAAATACATTTAAATCATGTTTCCACCCCCATCCC